TTTTATGCCTATGATGTTTAAAAAGAACTATGATGTTCAATATGTTCAAAATGCAAGTAGGTAAATAGATACCACTTCGGTGGGAAGGTAACAGCACTCCGTGACATCAGGCTGGCCACATGACTGTAGAAACACCTTTGGACGGTGCTGACTCAATGGACTTGAAACAGAGATGAGCATTGCTCCCTATAGTCAGCAACAACTAGCACAATAAATTCCACAGGGTTTTCTTCTCATTTTTATGATGTGAAATAAAAAAATAGGCTCCGCATACTATTCTTTACCTCTTGCCCCCAAATAGCTAGAATGGCAGGTACCCTCTATGTTAATAGTGCAATGTTTTCATGGCATCCCGAACTTTCTTCTATGTGTTTCAGGATTCTAAAAAAAATAAAAATGAAATGCTGCTTCAAAATGAAGTTTATTTTGCCAGCAAATAGGGATTTGCATATTTCCAAGGGAACTATGGGAATGTGCCTGGATAGTTAGATGAACAGACTGTACATTGTTAGGAAAAATGGTGTAGTGGAGAGCATGAAATACTGGATGGAAATTCTAGATCTGACAAATTCCAGGAAATGCTATGGAGCTCTACTTTAGAAAAATCCAAACTATAAAAAATTATTTTAAGTTTCAAAAAAGCTACAAGTATATAAAGCTACAGCATATTAAATTTAATAAATAATTTTAAAAGTTTCAGAATGGTGAACACCTATTGTTATAAAAGTCAGGAGTTTGGAAGCTCCTTTTCCAGCTCACAAACTCTATAAAAAGGTTAAAGCTTTGGAGAGCTTGGAAAGCTTATCCATTTTAATAATAAAAAAGTTAGTTAGAAAGGGTGATACTAAATACCAGACAGACAGACAGCTCTCAGACCCTGTTCCCCTCTAGAAATGTTATCTGTGATTTGAAATCCTTAAAAGGAATTATTCTTTTTTCAATTTATACACTAAGAACTACTAAAGTGATAAAACAATGCAGAAATTAATTTTCAACTTTCAACAAATTATTTTTCTTTATTTTCAAATAGCAATCAGAAATAAAACAATTAAACCTGACATAAATTCTTGTATTCAATAAACCATCCCATCTAGCAATATCTTCAGGAATGGCTATGTGGTTATTGTAGGAGATAGACTTTTCCTTGGAAACTGTAAGGAAAAAATGTTCTCAGGCCTAAATAATGCTTACCTGTCATATTTGGATAAGAATGAATTCCTTTCTGTCCAGATTAAGCACTTAAAACCCTCAATTTACTACATCTAATAGTAAAGAAAATACACTAAAAATGAGATTTTAAAATACACATATTAGAATGTATTTGGAAGCTTGTATGAATTGGGGGGGAGAAAAAGGAAAAGAACACCTTAGACTCACCACAAAATAATCCCACATTCACTCCTAGTACTTTGTAACAATACAACAGTCATCAAAGTCCTAAAGCTCAGATCTACATTGGGGTGGGTTCTTTTATCCAGAAGCCCTTTCTACTGCAGTCTAACCATTTCTATAGTAAGAATGTTCCAAATAGAAAGCGATTCAATAGTGCCCTGTGAGGTATCACTTTTCTCATTATAGAAACTGACATTTTAAGAGGAAGCAAGAGAAAGTCTAAAGCCACACAGTAGATTAATACCCTCCAATAGAACCAGCATAGCTCTATTCCATTGTTCTTATAACAATAATCTATTGGTTATTGACATAACCTGCATTCCTCCTCACAACTATTATTTAAGCTAAAAGTTAGGTTTACTCAATATGTTTTGCCATGGTTTGTTGAATAAGCTATAAATGGCTAAATTCACATAATACACTCTTTCAGAACTAAACAAACTGTAGTAATAAAAACCTGTGAATTTAGCCAATTTAGACATTAGGCTACAAATGTTAGTTTCAAAGCTAAGTGAATACTTGAACTTGTTTATCTAAGACAGTACCAACTCTTTTAAAAACTTCCATAAGTTGTGAGAGTGAAATGGAATACAAATTGAATATATAAAAACAAATTCAAATACATCTAATTCTTATAACACTAATTTCAAGATTGAGCTTATTAAAAACTTTGATACACTTCTAATAGCTGAGGCCCACATTTCATATCTAGGCCATGAAATCGAGGATTTAAATTACCCCCCAAAATAGGGAACATGTTCATCTAGGTTCTGCAGGGAATTCAACAGCGTTAGTGTTTTGGTTTAGTTTAATTTAGGGGGTGGAGTGTTAACTATGTAAACAAAATTGCTGTGTTTCAGGTATCAAATGTTGAAGGACACTGCAAAATATTCAGTGATGTCAAATTCAATGATACTCCAATGGGCAGGAAAAAAGATGGGATTCTGGGGACTATGGCCAATAATATTTTAAAAGTTCAATAATTCATGCCCCACCACTGTTTTGTTGGGTGGACAGCCCACTGCATTCATTTCACCTCTACTTGAAAAAAGATACCCTGTTCACTGGACTGAAAAGAAACTGCATATATTGGCAAACTGCAAATACATTATACAACAGTAATAATTTCAGTAATAAACTTGAAAGGTGTGGAAAACATAATTGATAAAGATTGTATAAAAACTAATTATGTACAGGTTACCACATTCTGGTAGTTTTATATGCTGTACTTTCAGATTCTGAAATAAATACATATTAAAAATAAATAAATGTACACGTCTTTACCGTTTTATATCCTAGCCTTGAAATGTCAGTCCAAGAACCATCAGGCAAGTGTCCAGTTGAAGACGTATATATTTTAGAAAGCTTTTCCAAGTACCTTATTTCCTTCACAGAATTTCTGTTCATTTATATGTAGTCTGTATATACAAAACCTTCTGAGCTCAAGAATAAATGTATTAAGTCATCTATCTTGAATTCCATGTTATATTTTCACAGTTCTTGATTAAGATTGAACTGAATCCAATCTTCCATCTCATAATTTTTAAATTATCTATTTATACTCCAAAGTACATGTATTTTTAGTCTTCTGCACTCCTGAAAAGAGAACACTATATTGCCTAATTGAACCTCAATATTATGCCCATATCACTGTCCTATAGATTTATGTTCCCTGTATCTAGATTCCAATACAGAAGCATATAAAATTAATTCCTTTGGCTGGTAAGCAAACAAAAAAGCATATACTGTATATTAAATAATTTATTATAGAAATTCTTAATATATAGACCTCAAGTTAGTCATGAATTTATTTTAAACAAAACCACTTTCTAGTTATTTGTCATAATACATATACATATCATGCAAAAGGTTACAGATCAAATGCTCAACTGCTTGTGTAATGTGAAAAACTACAGCGCCTGTACATAATTGCCATGAAAGGATGAGCAGTCTAAAAGAATGAAAGGACCAGTAAGAACCAAAATACTTGGTTATAAAAGTATAATATACTAATACCATATGTCAAAATAGACCACAAATTAATTCTCTGGTTTATACTAATCATAAAAACCCACTGCACTATAATCAATGATAACTTCAAAATGAATAATGGAAATATATTTTATTTTTTACAGCACCATTCCAGAGGATGAGCTTCTAAAGCAGGTTTATCGCTAAATCAAATATTAGACTCGTCATATCAATCAAAGTTTGATGAAAATCTAAGTCATATGAGCTTTAATACATTCATCTTTACCACTTTTATCATATTTTGCAGACCCCCATGAATTTAGAATGGGAAACAGTACTGATTTTCAGATTCATGACAAAGGACTATCAAATATCTTGGCTTCACATTTGGAAAAAACAACCACCCAATACAAATAATTTTTGACTTCCAATCACAATTGAACTCAAATTTTCTCTTTTTAAATGACCTTCAGTCTAGACAACTTTTCATATTAGTCAGCCTTACAATTATACTTCAGAAGGGTTGTCTCATTTTTAAAATTTTAATAAAATGGCATTTATTATTGCCATTTTAGATTTAGTGCCTTTAAGACATGGGGGTTGAAAGATCCACAAAAGTCGCTTGATTTCTTGTTCTGAACAATACAGTATTTATATTTCCATAACAAAATGATTCTCTCAGCTTACTAGTGACTTACTTTTACTTCAACTGAAAGCCTCCCATGCAAAGCAAATGCCACTTTTATCATTTTTATATTCTCAAGGGCAAAACTTCTGAAATCTTTACTCTATATTTGCCTATGAAAGAGATGAGGCAACATGACAAGAGAGGAAGATAGTCACAACAGCTGCTTCAATACTCCCCCAGCCTGGATACCAGCTCTAGTAACACAGTCCACTTGCAACATAAGCTACCAGGGATTAAGGATGGTCTGGAAGTAGTTCTATATCACCATGTGTTTGAGAAAGACTTCAGCACCCATGTAAATAACAGAACTTATCACTAAATAAAACAAAGTACAGTAGAAACAAAGCAAACCAGAATAGACTCTCATAAGACAGCAGAAAGAGAAAAAAGAAGACTGCAAACGAAAGTTTTTATTGCTTAGTAAGAGGATAAAGCATTTGCTTTCTTAAATACATACTAGAACAATTCCTTTGAAAGAATTCAAAATTGGTTAACTCATCACCAACTTAATATATGCAATGAAATTATCTATTACTACAAATTAAGCAGGTAATATTATTAACTGGGATGCCTTCACCTAAAAAAGTGTTCTAAAAAACTTAAAAACACCATAAAAATATAACCTAAGGGAATATACCCAAAGTGTACCAAAAATGATGCCCCAAAGGATTATTACAATATCTTTAATTATTCTTTTCCCAAAAAGAAAGTTTTATGGTACTTTGAAATGTTCAGTCATTTGTCAAATGAATAAGAAAATGTTTAGAACATTTCTCAATGTAAGTTATCCAAAATTAGATAAAGAGTTTTTCTTTGTATTTTTCTTTTCCCTCAACACATTTCCCATCACAAAAAATGGTTATGTCTATCAAAAATAGTCAAAAATCTCCCAAAGTATTCCTATGAAGGTGAAAAATCAATAAAATTATGAATGGTAATTTGCTGAAATAACTTAAAGATCACTTAGTTATGTTTTTAATACAGATAGTCCTTGAGTCACAACCATACATTCAGTAACCATTTAAAGTTATGATAATGCTGAACAAAGGGACTTATGACCTGTCCTCAAAGTTCAACTTTCTAATAAGTAGCTTTGAGTAATGAAGTTTGGGAACCATTGGTTTAGAAGAAAATAGAAACATTTAATGTATTTTATATAATAAATTGTTTATGAGGTCTGACTCTTGGATATACATCATGTATCAACATAGATTACTAATATTGTTATTTCACTCTTATCAAAGAAATGTTAAATATTGGCAAAAATCAGTATATTTATTAATGAAAGTTAGTGAGATCCTCAAACAATTATTTTCTTTCTCTTAGGTTATCCCATATAATATTGCTATACATACCTCTTTAGTTAGATCACCGTTTAGTGGAGGAGCCACTGCACCTAGGTCTTCCAACTCTTCACTATATGCTTGTTCCATTGCATTTTCTCTGACTACATTGTCTGAAGCAGTTCCATTTTGCAAGCTACTGCCATTCTCAAGGGAAATGCCTGTATTGGGTTGGGCACCAGAGACAGAACCTTCAGGATCGCGATGTACCAGCCAAGCACTGACTTCAGTGGTGGGCACCTGAAACCTGTCCAAGGCCCTAACTTGGTTGAGAAGCCGTCGAGCTGTAAAATAGTAGTCCAGATCTACACTTTTGGGGTGTATAACATAGCCATCTAGGGTGTTCCGCAGGTTGTGAAACTGTGTTTGAGTGTATGCAGAGCTCTGGCCCAGAAAGATCTCCCGCAAAGGAGGGAGATGTGAATTTAGATAAGTATCTACATCCACCCTCACTCCGATCAAGCTGAGAAAAATTGTGAACTGAATGAGTCCTTCAGTGAAATATTTCTTCAGAGAAAGCATTTCTAGAAAGAAAAAGTATATTTAGAATCTTTAATAATATTCAAATATCTCTTGTGAGATATTTTTCTATATACTATAAAACAAATGCTCACATTCCATTTTAAAGGAAAATCTAAATGAATTCAGATTATGAATACATTTGTGAAATCTCCAGGAATAAAAAAAACTCTCATTAAGTGGACTTTTATTCTGGAACAGCTTATTCAGAATACAAAATTGTTTTACAACAAAACAAAGCATATTAACTCATGTAACTTACTGTCTTAATGAATCCACACAGCAACTTCCTTGAATTTTCTACTTTTCCACAGAAACTGCAAGATGGAACAAGTCTTCCAGAACAGCTGCAAGTTTGATCTTCCCCTCTTTCCTCCTCTCTCCCTAAAGGAGCAGTTAAAGAGTACAGGGTTCCAGAATAGGGAAGACTTTTCTGTTGCTTGCTGCAAGTTTCATCAGAAACTGAAACACACCCAAAAAAATCAAGCAGAGGCATTAAAAGGCACCATAATTTAAATCAGTTCAACACTTTTTCATTTTGTACAGGCTAGAAACATGATGTAGAGTGCACATTTAACAAAAAATATGATCAAAAGAGTCAAGTTAGCATTATCCTACAGCTTATGGGTTAACCAATTTGGTATAATAGTTAAAGCATTAGACTAGAAATCAGGAGACCTTGAGTTCTAATCTTATGTTAGGTACAAAGGCACCTGGATGACCTTGAGATAGTCATTTTCTCTTAGCCCTAGGAAAGAGATATGGCAAACCACTTCTGGAAAACTTTGCCAAGAAAGCTACAAGGACTTGTTCAGGCAGTCAGAGAATCAGACATGTCTCAACAAAAAGGGGGTGGGGGGCTCAGTTCAAGGAAATATCCATTTGGCTTCTGGCATCTGGTTACCCAGCAAGAGCCAAATATCAATACTCCCAACGAATACTGGTGTTTGCCTCCTTTTATAATCTCACCACTGAGCTGTGGGTGATGTTTAAACTTGCTGATTATGTCTTCATTCAGCATAAATTTCTGAGTAATTTAAAAGGACTTTAAATTCACTTTGAGCATTAGGGATGTTGCAATTTATCAACACAAGAGCTATGTCTGCAATTATTTCTCCCAACTCATACCTACAACTTCATGCCTACTGAAGAAATTACTGGATTTAATAAAGAACATAGCTTTTAATATATGCATGGATCCTTGCTTTAGCTATTCAGATTCTTTTAGCTCTTTTCCTTACTCCAGAAACCACCAGGGCTTGTAATTTTACACTGTTGCATTACTAATACCTACAGGTATTCCAGTGATCTGTGCCCATCTTTTTCCAATTCCCGATGGTTGAACATCCTGATTCTCAATCAGTTTGATTGTCAATATTTATAGGAAACATATGTTGCCTTCCTTCTTGGAAGAGGAGATATAACTGCTGGCAGGTCAGTATTTGGTAGATTTATCTAAATTTTAGAACCTATTTGGGAAAAATAGGGCTTCTTTCATTTCCCCCTCAATTATCTAGCCAATGAAAATTGTGGATAAGGTGGCATTTACGATCAAATACTTTCCCTATACTTTCATATATAAGTGTACAAGCAAGCTTCAAGCAATAAAATCTCTGTACACTCAATATTAAATGGACATTAAAGTGCATCTATCAAAAGGAACTAAATATTAAAAACATATATAACCATTTTCTGATAAAAGTTAGAAACATGAGGATAAGGAAGGTCAATATCCCATCACAATAATTCTATATATATTATCAGAAAACATTGCTAGCTCAAATTTTTAGAATTAAATATAAAGCCATGATTTATTTATTTTTGGCTTTCATGTCTTGAGCTTTTCAATACATTTTCCCTTTAATTAATTTGAAATTGTTTTAAAAATCTATATCACAACTATTGCATCATCTGCTCCCATTTCAAATAAAACAGAATACAAGAATTCCAAAAGCCATACCTTGATCTATTAAGAACAGCAACCATATATGCAGACTAATCCAATCTATGCTTCTACTATCATATTTCAGCACCTTTTTCTATTTCCATCAGAGACGCATGATTTCTAAGTAGTAGTTGTTTTGAAGACATGAGAGCCAAAATTCTCCACCAGACACTTTCTTTCTTATGTTGCCTCATTAATCCTACTTTCTCAATTGCTAAGACTTTCTGGACTCTCACTACAATCTCAATTTAAAAATTTAAACTCTTCACAATGCAAGCTAATGACATAAGAGAATTTAGAGAATTCTACTACAAATATTTTCACACAAGAGCTTGAACCTTGTCCTATTCACAGTACTCAGAACCATAAGGAAGTACAACTCCAACAAAAGTAAAGCTTTTTACTTTCACTGTCATTTTTAAATAATATATCTTTATAATGTGATAGTTAATGTTATCTAGATTCAAAAGCATTCTTTTCCTGAGTGCAACCCATTTAATTAGATTCTAAACAAGAGATCAACAGGCAAGAGTTTTTCCTTAATTAATTAATCAATCCATGATCTGGTGTATATATTTTCTTAAAATTTTAAAATAAATCCCATATTTCTCTTTTTTGTCAATTTTCTTACTTTCATTTCTCTAAAAGTCTTCGATTCGAAATATAACAATCCTGAAAAAATAGGTCAGGATTGCTAACTCCCACAAGCTAATTATTAAGTCATAGAATAACACTATGCAAATGTTCTTTTAATTAAACAGAACAGCTCTTGGCTTCCAACACATCCATTTACTACAAATAGGCATGAGAATACAATTAAATGTCAAACTGCTTCTATTCTAGAAACAATTCCCCACCCATTACTTTTGCTAGGCTCGCATTTCCTCCACTATCTGGTTTTACTCCATTTCTACTTCTAGAGGACCAACCTCATTCCGTTTCTTATGTTCTAGGAGTGCCTCACCCACTCAGAAACCCCCTCCACCATTTCGTTTTTCAGCAAATCCTGCCTATACTAAATTCCCTTATCGGATTTCTCTTACAAGAAGGGAAAAGCAGTTCTCCAATCTTCACTTTCTCAGGCTAACTTTTTACCTCCGCATATCCGAACTTTCCCCATTTTTTTAATTCTCTCCCAGTCTACCTGGTGCCCTTTAAATTCCATACACCGGCATTACCCCATCAGCTCTTTCCACAGCCCACCCACGCCTGAACTCATGTACCGTCTTCCCTCCAGACCCTCCTTCCTCTCATCTCTTTCCTTCCACAAGCCTCATCTGGTCAAAACCCCACCTCGCTTCTGCATCTGAACCCCGTTTCCCCCGCAGTCGCCTTTCTTCGATTCATATTATTTGTTCAGTCCTGTTCTTCCCAGCCACCTCCTTTACCTGGCGCTCCGTCTATCGCCTACCGTATTTTTACCTCCATCTTCTTCTCAACCATCCCCGCCAACGCCTCTCAATTACCACCCCCCACAACGCCTCTCAATTACCACCACCCCTTATATATTGCAGGCCGTCTCTCTGGGTCACCCTCCCCCCTTTTCTCCCCAGATTTCACCCCCCCTCCCAGTATTCAATCCGTCTTTTATTCCCTAGCACTAGCTTTCTCCACCAACTTCCCGTCGTAGAAATCCATCATTTCATCTATATACCGTCTCTTCCAGCGATCGCCGTCCAGCACGCACGACTACCTTCAGGAGGCCTTGCCTCAATGCCGGTCTTAAGCCCATACAGCGGCATTCGACTGCTACTACAAGATTTCCTGCCTTCTGTGTAGCTTTGTCCAATCGTTTTTAACGATTGTGATGAATGACAGTTTGTTTGTCCACTCAGAAAGTAAACATTATTTCCTAACCACAAACCTCACAGCGACTGACAGCTTAACGGCCAATCAGAATCCACACAGATAAAAGTGTTAACAGAGGCAAAAAAAAATGTCCAGAGAAAAAGCCAATCACGATGGTTAGAGGGCCGACTACGATGCTCGTTGATTGACAACATAAATTCCCCAATCAGTTTAATCTTCGCTTAGCTCCTTGAAACAAATGGTTTGATTGACAAAAGAAACAACCAACTGTATCTCGAAAATGTAATCGCCTCTTCCCATTATCTTTGGACTCTGGGCTCTAAAGCTGCAGTTAGTTTCTTTACCGCTCCCCACCCGATTACGTAATCTTATAACCGCCTAATGACGGGCCTATTACCCTTGCGAAATGGCGCCATATTGAGCGTGTTGCCATTGCCAACCAAGTGACGTCTTCAGAAGTTCCTGTTCATGTATGAATTTTAAACATTCTCTACTACTTTGGAAGTTTTGGTGAATGCTTCTTTGCAACTACAACGTAATTTTACATTTAATAGATTGTATTAGGTATAATTTTTAGGTCGCTGCAGATAATTCAGGTTTAGTGACATTTTATTTATCTGTATAACAATTTATTTTCCTTTACTCCTCTTAAACTTGAAATTCATACAAAATATGTTCAGGAATATAATAAGGCAAAAAATTGAAAATGTAAAAATCATTTTTATTCTAAATGTTCTTTACAATCAGAATGTGATGATGGTAGCACAGCAAGCATAAGCAGTTACTTCCATTTCCACATTTACATTTTCAATATTTTAGAAGTGTGAGTTTTGTTAATATAGCTTTAAGCACTTGGGAACTTATTTGTCAGATGCAAGAAGACAGGGGCCAGGATAAAATTAAAAGTACTGTTGGAAGAAATGTTTATCTGGGTTCAGTTCCAAGTGGGGGAAAAGACACTGGAAACATGGAGACTGCTTGAAAAGATGGTTTAATGGTGGACAGGAGCATATTGTCTGAGGTCCTGGGCAAAAAAAAGTGCATGGGTGAGAGAGGGAGATATTTATACCCTCTCTTGGATCCCCCCCCCCCTGGAGCTTCCTGTTCCTGTACAAGATACATATCCCATTGGCTGTCAGACTCCGAGGGTGGGGGTTCTTAGCTAACTTTGTAAGCTGTCTGTGTCCCAGTCTTTGGTTGAGCTTTGCTGGGTGATGTAATCTTCCCAGGTGCCATATGGTGAGATGGGTAGAGAGCTAATCCTATCATGTTTTGAGGGCCATATCTTAATCCCATCACCCTGGAGCTGAAGGGGGGGCAGGGAGCTGTTTTGCCTTTAAAAACATGTTTCTTCTTTTCTCATCTAGGGAAATATAATACTCTGCCTTTTTAATATTTCCTAGAAATTTTCATTTTTCTAGATGAGGGGTGGGTGCTAACTTCCTGTACTATTTCAAGCTTATTTCATGTTATCTGAACTAACCTAATGGCAAATCAGTGCCAGATGGATTCAGTGAACTTCAAGAGGGCTGGACTTACATCTCTTGGGGATGGGTAAAGACTCTAAACTGATGATGGATTTAATCCCACCTTCTGGCTCATCTTGGTCATCTACAATTTATAATTTGGTATATATACCACAGTTACTGATTTTTCTCCAATAAAATCCAATAATAATAAAACCTAATATGATTTATCATGATCACCA